TAAACGAGTTTTTATTTCACCCGTCCAATGGACGGGGCCTCCAGTGGTACAGCTGTATGTCTACGGACTCACAACGCTAGAAACCGGGGTTTCGATACCTGTGGTGGCGAGAGCACACATAGCCCGCTGTGCAACTTTGTGCTTAACTAACAAACAACAACAACCAACTGGCGGGTACTTCCGCTAGTTTACATATAAACAAAACCCTTCTTTTCAATAGGACGTTAACTGTACATAAGACAATATATATATATATTATCGATCAAACGTATCTTCTTAGATTTTTTATATTTAATATTCAATATGAAATTAATTAGTTTCGTCCAATGAAAAATTTAATAATATAATATACACACAACAAACCAATAGACCAGTTCATTAAAATGAGAAAATACATAATGTATGTTCTTTTATGTACAACAAGGCAGTTGATTGAAAATGTAACAATATATATTACGTATTGTTTTATGCACAACTAACCACTTAACTAAAATTGTAATGATATGTTTTACATTGTCTTATGTGAAACTATCTAAATTACCTTGAATACTAGATCTAATAGTCTGAAAAGACAACGAAAAACAACTTTTATAGTAACTTTATCATGCCATCAGATGTTACAATTTTAATTGGTTGTTGTCAGCTCCTATCTTTCCGCCACCCCCCCCAGTGGCACAGCGGCAAGTCTGCGGATTTACAACAATAGAATCCTGGTTTCAATACCCGTGGTGGGCAGAGCACAGATAGCCCTTTGTGTGGCTTTATGCTTAACTACAAACAAACAAACCTGCCGTTCGATTCTATATAAATATCTAATAATCATTTACAGAAATTAATTATTATGTGCCTTACAGCAACTAAGCAAACAAGGCGAATTCCAGGACTTGAATTGTATGCTGTAAAATACTCCTTAAACTGAGTAATAAAGTAGAGACGATAACATTAAATATATTTTCACAGTATAGTGCATTACAACACCGACTTTTTTAAAACAAAAACTTAAATCCGATTACACACTCGTCTGCTTCCTTTCAGTGTTTGTTAATAATTTTGAAATTTTATTTTCTAAAATGTACTCTTTGAAATGGACTAGCAAACAGTATAGTTAATGAATGTATACAGTCGGCTAGTAACGTGTTGTATAGGGCATAAAAACAGGTTCACGTTTTCTATAAAGAACAAGGAAGAAATAGAAATAAGTATGCTGTTAAAATAGCTCACAAATTGGATTACTTCACTTAAAATAGAATACTTGTATTATGTCTCATGAATTATCCATATATTCACCATTTATAAACCATAATTGCATTTATTTAATTAATAATATTTGAGTTCTTTGAGTGTAAGATGCATCAAAGCGGTTTACATTTTAATTTAAAGCGTTTTTCTTGGAATTCGTATACATAAGAATCTGACATGCATGGTATTTGTTCTAATTATAAAATGATAAAAAAATTACAAAATTAATGGTATATTGATATATTGGATTATTATTTATTAACGTAATACACACTGAGGAAAAGTTTGGAAATTTCGAGTTCAATGAGATTTGACACCTGGTGAATGTTTAATAGTTACTGTTGAACAGATATGATTACTTGAGTTATGCTAGGATACCATGATAAGCTCACTCGTGGATTTATTTATTTATAACGGTGTAATTACGAAGAGTTACACAAGATCCCATGAAACTCTGGATCTAGCTGTTTGTTAAACAGTGTAATTATTGAGTTTACAAGGAATCACTGGGACTACACAGGATACTATAATATGGTTACGTGAGAATTTATAGTTGTGAGTTAATAATTTAATCACCGTATTAAAGTGGATCTCATGGGAATCATTTAAAAAAGATAATAATACATGATATTCTTTGTAGTGCAACCTAACATAAATTATATATCGCGACACTTTCTCTTTTGAATGATAAATATTCGAAACACGTATGACGTTTGCACTGCATAAATGTTTTAGAAATAAACGTGAATAGGTAAATTAATATACACTTATAATGTTCTAGTTTCAGTTTGGGTGGTTGATCAGACTGTATTCTTTGTAGTGCAACCTAACATAAATTATATATCGCGACACTTTCTCTTTTAACAGATAAATATTCGAAACACGTATGACGTTTGCACTGCATAAATGTTTTAGAAATAAACGTGAATAGGTAAATTAATATACACTTATAATGTTCTAGTTTCAGTTTGGGTGGTTGATCAGACTGTATACTTTGGCTATTTTATGTAAATCATTGAGTACGAATACTTCAGAACATATAATTTATTCACGCCCTCTTTTCTGTTTGAAGTCCTTTTCAACGTGGCGTAACGGAGTATGTGATCAATAAGTTGCTTCAAAACACATTCACAGCCCACTCATCAGACAGGAACCTGGTAATAAATCTTTCACTGTTCTTCGATTTATACCATATGAACTGATGTTTCGTGCCACATGGCAACATAAATTATTGTCCACGTCTGAATCACTCGTTATACGTGTGTGCAAAACAGTACTTTCGAGTGTGTATTTCTCCATATTCTCGTTTTCCTTTAAACTAACATGAAGGAAGAAAATACAGCTATCACACTTGCTATTAAACACTGGTGAATATTGTTTGTTCAATAAATTATAAAATGCTTATTGAATATAGTGACAATTCATTGGTAATGATGATAATTTCGTACTGTTTTTCCCTGTTCTGTGTCTCACGACACCAATCATGTATAGTATATTAGTATATTAAGCATTTTGAAACTTTTAAGAACTGTGTACACATTTTTCATGAAAATCAACATTAAACAGTGGTCAAAGCACAGAATGTGCATTTTTTAAGAAATATAAGCACCAACATCATCGTTTCATGACAAGTAATATGGTTCACTTATACAGGGTTTTTATTGTTGTTTTATACTTCAAAATAACAAAAATGTGATGGAATATATATCTGTTTAATAATGTATTGACCAATCATATTCGGTGAGAAAAGAAAACGTTGATACATCTTAATCTGTAACGTAAACATCAAGATATCTTTTTAAACAGTTCTTTCGTGAATTACAGCGTGCAAAATAAACAGAAGGTATAAATTGTGTAATGTTTCCAAACCTGGTTTACCAAAAGAATGGAGAAAAATAAAATATATATATTTATATTTCGCGTCAAAAACGTAAGAAGAAAACATTAATAAATCTGGCAGACAATAAAGTCTAGCTAAGAGTAGTGAGGTATTAAATGGGAATGGCACTATTACTTGTATAGTAAGGTTTCCTGTTGTAAGAAAATAGCATTATATACATCATTAACAAAAATAAAGCTCCATCTAAAAGAGAAATACGTTTGTAAGCATAATCTTTCCACTCTTAAGGAATGGTTTGTTACCAGCAAAGAATATTCAGGGAAGTTTCTTGGGAAGAACACGATACCCAAATTTGCATTTATAAACAGCAGTTTCTTATGTATTTGATCAGGAATCATTAGAATGAATAACGAATTTAGCTTCTTCAAAACGTCTATTGTATCTTTTTAAGTCATATTTAAAGTATTTTTTTTATATTATACTTTTTTACTTGGAAAGAAAACTGAAAATAAAAGTTAAATTAAAATTCTGTTTGTTTTTCTTCTTATATGTTCTCTAAAATATCGTATTGACTTAAAAGTTATCAATATTTTAATGTCATGCTACTGTGAAACGTAACCATAGAACAATCAACGTACCCGCGCTTTCATCAGACAATATCGTAGCAGCTATATGTGTATATTCTTGAGCCATTGTACTTTATTAACAATGCCGCTAACATTTAAGTAAATTTTGTGCATTGTTATATTATTTATTACACGTAGACGTGTCAGGCAATTATAACTCAAGTAATTTCCTATAGTTAAAAAGTACTGGTTTGTTACTGTTTTGTATACTTTACGAATTCATTCGCAATTAATTCAAAACAGTTATCGTGATGGGTGTTCTGTACAGAGAAGCAGGACGTATTTAATTTACGAGTTTAATATATTACGATGCCATCTTGAATTAGACAGAAACCTTATAATGCATTTTTGGATGAAAATATTTGAAAGGGTTATCATTATTAAATTGGACGGATTTTGAATATGACGACACTTCCTGTCAGAAATGTCTGTCCATATGTACCATCATTCTTAGTCAAACATAATTAACTTGGATGTACATAAACTAACACCACAACAAAAACACCATCACCCCCAAAATTTCCATATGCACCACTGAGAAAGATATGCATTAGGTATTAAAGCTATGAACTTGGTTAACGTTAACTAATTATTAAACCACCTGATTGTATAAAGAATTAACCACCCATCATTTTCTACAAAAACTGCGTTTGTACAAAATTATAATTTATAAAGAAAAGAGCAAAAACAGTTCAATTATTTTTTATTTCATTGAGTTAATATGAGGATATTTTGCCACTGGATATTCCTCGCGGAAGAATAGAATCGTTTATTACTAGAACACTGAGAGAATGTTGATGTCCACAAATGTCTTATTATTTTTCTTTCGAAATGTTTAGTTGTAAATATCCGGATATTACACTGCTGTACATTTATAGGGTGAAAAATGAAAACAATAGGCATTACATAAAGTATATATATATATCTTTATTCCTATAAATATATCGGGTGACAAACAGTAAACAAGAAAACACTTTCAAATTTTTAATCTGTTTTCTTTGCGATCAAACAAACCATTAACACGAATACACGTTAACCAAGCTTAGATAGTGAACTATATATAACTGGCTCCGAAGCTACTGTCGACGTTCCTGTAAAATAATATTTTAAAAAGCGTTAAATATTATGATCTTAGTAACGTTAATGGAAGACGTTCTGGTAATTTAGTCAACAGACTCTGGTTGAGTAAATAAATTTTAATTTCAAATTACAACGAAAAATCATTAAACGCTATAAGAAAGAGAAACAAACAAAAGTAAACAAACTTTGGTTTTAAAAATGACTATTTTGTTTTGTTTCAATAGGACTAACAGTATCATATGAAAATAGATATTTATTATATAACTTATATATTGAAATTGTTTAGCAATACATACCTTACAAACATAATTCTAAACTGTATTTCTTAATAACCTGCAAAGCAATTTTTCAGTAAAAAATAAGCACTTTACTCTGTTAACATTTGACAGACCTTCAAATAGTTTTGATTTTGGATACATATTTAATTGTAGTACAATTTTTATTCAAACTGAACCACTTAGTGTCACACCTTACACACATTCAACCACTTCGAGGCTGTTTCAGGTAGTTAGTACATAAGGGATTTTGATTATGTTTGTTGTGGTATAATCAAAATATTACACGAATTCATTTTCTGAAATAATATAAATTACATTAATGTTGAGAAACAAAACATGAAACACAACCTGAAAATTCACTAAATACAGGTGACTTGTATGAGAAGACTCGGTGACACGTTTATGAAACAGCTGGCGTTAGAGAATACTGGCTGAAATTAAAAGACAGTGAAGGATTGTGACTTCAGGGTAACACACGTGCTTTGGTGAATTTTCTCAGGGAATCAATCATCACATCTTTATTATTTTACGAATTATTGGATCTTCATTACAGGAAAACGCTATGCTATTTGATATTCCACCACAAAGACGACATTCTCTTGGCGGTATTTGATCTCTCAGCTTGTGTTTATAACTTGTATTTCATTGATGTGGGTAGGTAGAAGAGGCTCATGGCTCTCTTCTGTATATTTGGATAAAATATTGGTACCCTTTTCGTTAACTCGAGCATGGAATTCATAAAGTAAACTTTTGGAAACTTCTTCTGAGCTATTAGTAAAACATGTTTCTTTTGCTGGTTCTCCGTCTGCCAGGAACACAACTTTTTCCGTTGAATCCTGAAATTTCCGGTAAGCTGTTACAATTACATTTTATAATAAAAGCACGACTATTTATTATATTAATTATCATAAAATCAAACAAACGAAAGGAAGAAGATCCCTCTTAAAGTACAAGGATGAGATAGAATGAAGATAAAACAGTTATAATATTATGTTTAGCCATTGCTTATTTTCAAATGCCTTTATATGTATTACCTGTATATTTTCATCTATGCGCATGTGTGTGTGTGTGTGTGACGAAAAAAAAATGGCTGTTGTGCCATAATGACACCACGGATGCTACACAAAGCTTTTGCGGCAAATACATTTACCTTTTGTTTCTGTTGACTAGACTGTCATAAATGCACGAATATTTGTCTTTTTCATAATGTTAGTAAACCATTCCTGTTTTTTTTATTGCAAATATACTACTTATAAACATACATGCCCCTGTACGTTAAGTTGTTGCATATTTCTACTTCTCGTCAATATAAAACTGATATTGTTTTTTTAAATGATCTTAAAGTTATCACCTGAAAAGTGATTGTTATGCTATAAAATCGGTGGAAAAAATGAATTAATAATATAAATTTTACAACAAATATCAGAATTACTTTATCGTTTATTTTTATCCTTCTTTAAAAAAAACGGAGAAATTTGCTCATTTACGAATTAGAGCCAGGTATTAATTACCCTGTGGCTACGATGAGTAATTGTGGATTTGAGGTCCGTGGTTCGAGTCTCGTTATTGCAAAAACATTGCACGCTCAGCACTTTTGGTTCGTGAATGCGTTATAAGAGTGAGGGTCAAATCCTACTATACAGTTAAGAGTAATCCAAGAAGTGATGGTAAACACTTTTGATTAGCTTCCTTTCTTCTGGCCCGGCATGGCCAGGTGGATAAGGCGCTCGACTCACAATCTGAGGGTCGCGGGTTCGAA